AAATACAACAAATTATGATTGGTTGCAGCATCTATTTCTCTCTCCCACTCAGCTCCTCATCATCACTGCAGACGGTACATGCATATTTTTCAAAAAGAATCATAATAATCAATTAATTATTTCTGACAACAAAAATAGTTTTCAGGGTGCCAATGGAAGGGAAAGGAGGATCACTCAGACTGACTTTAAGCAAAGGAGCATCGGTGTAGTCGCTGCCTATGCATTGATATTGATTCTCATCCAGTCTTTCAGGTACACCTTTTTCATCCCCAAAATATTACGTTCTGATCTTCAGGTTCATTCAATTATTTTCTCAGGGGAGTTTAAATTGTTAATCTTTCATTCAGTCATCAGGATCATGTCTAATGTTTAATTCTTTCTGCGCTTTCACTGTAGAATTTTGATGCAGAAAGAAGAAAATTAAAATGGTTGATACTCAAGAGAAGGAAATGATATTTGAGCCTATTTTGGAAGATGGTGTTTTTCGGTTTGACTGCTTGTCAGATGATAGAAATGCAGCATTTCCCAGTTTATCATTTACAAATACCAAGCTAAGGGACACACCCATCTTGATTCACAAGGTTCCTTCATATATCCCTACTTTTCAATCCCTTCTTGGACAGCAGATTGTCAAACTTGAGGTCAGTTCCTCCACTATTTTCACATTTACTGTTATTCTGTTGCTATGATGTTGATTTTATTTTATTTTTTTTGAATTCTATGGACTTTGGTATTGGTTTAGCTTCCTGTTGGCACCTCATTTTATGGAACTGGAGAAGTTAGTGGGCAGCTAGAGCGCACAGGAAAGAGAGTGAGTCCTTTTGTAGGATTTGCCATTCATAATATATCAGACTCCAATTTTCTCATTGATGGTAATTTTTTTCTCTTCTTTATAGGTTTTTACTTGGAATACAGATGCTTTTGGATATGGACCTGAAACTACATCCTTGTATCAATCCCACCCATGGGTTTTAGCTGTTCTTCCAAATGGAGAGGCACTGGGGGTTCTTGCTGACACAACACGGCTTTGTGAGGTATGCTGACTTTAGTTATTTTCCAATTAAGCTCAGCCCCTTTGGAAACAAAAACCATTCCAGTTTGGATAATTATTTGTCTAATATGTGCTATGGCAGATTGATCTGAGGACTGAAAGTAGAATCCAGTTTACTGCGTCAGCTTCATTTCCTGTCATTACATTTGGGCCATTCCCTTCGCCAACTGATGTTTTGATATCTTTATCTCATGCAATTGGTAATTTTCTAAACAATTTTCTTTTTCCATCTCAAATGCCACTTTCTGCTTTCCGGAGTGTATTCTGCAACTGAGAGCAACTCTTGTTTTCATACATCTATCCTTGCCAAGATTGCCTCACTTGGTTCCATGTCTTCTATACAACATGCGATAGTGGTGACTACTTTGAGGCTTGGATCAGATTTCACTATCTACCTAACTGAGACATTTAAGTAAAGTGACTAATATAAGAAGCATAGAAATAAAATGTTCAATTCAAGGAGGTTAGTGAGAATGATAAAACAAACATTTCTATAACCAAGGATCATTTTTACTGATCCTTAGCATTATTTCTCACAAATCTTTAGTTCTTTTACATGTAAAAGTTCTTTAAATATAGTTTTCTTTTCATCATAAGTGTCATCACTTCTGAAAGCAGAGGCAGTCGTCCATCTTAGTTGTTTTCATTGTTATCCTTGAGTAGTGATGTTGTTCAAATTATCTATAATCTCTCCTTAGGAACTGTTTTTATGCCTCCAAAGTGGTCCTTGGGCTATCACCAATGCCGTTACAGCTATATGTCTGATAAGAGGGTCAGAGAGGTCAGTGCTTTATATCCAATTCGGATGCCCTCAGTTCCAAAATCTTACCTACCCCATGGATAAAAGAACTGCTTCATTTTTGAAATTTTCATTACATATCCTGGTTTTCTGATTACTGACCAATTTTGCAGATTGCCACAACATTTCGGGAGAAGGGTATACCTTGTGATGTGATATGGATGGACATTGACTACATGGATGGCTTTCGATGTTTCACTTTTGACAAGGCATGTTCTTTCCTTGATGATTTCCAAAGATTTTTAGTTCCGTGATGCGATTAAGGCATTTATGAAAGTCTAACTAAATGGGATTGTCATGAACTAAATGATGAGAAAATGCTAGTTTGATGTTTAGTCCATAGTGATTATGTGATTCTCCACATGAGAGTGGAACAGTAATCTCTTTGCTGTAAATGATTGCATATTTTCAAGTTCAAGTCTTTAGAAGTTGAGACTTCTCTAAAGTTTTAAGAAGTTTGCTTTTCATATCCAATCAGTCCACTAGTTTTAAGTATTTTAGTTAGAGGCATCCTGCTTCAATAATTCTATGCACTTAGGCAGGATCTGCAATTCGCTATGTACTTTGTTACATAAATTTTATGTTAATGACTTCTTTCCCTTCTTTAACAAGACCGGTAACATATCATAATAAAACTTCAAGAATCATTGTTCTCCCTGAATACAGGAGCGATTCTCAGATCCAAAATCTTTGGTGAAAGATCTCCACCATAATGGTTTCAAGGCAATTTGGATGCTTGACCCTGGGATTAAACATGAAGAGGGTTTCTTTGTCTATGAGAGTGGTTCTAAAAATAACGTATGGATCCAAAAAGCAGATGGAACCCCTTTTGTTGGTACAGTTCTTCTCCCTTTTTATTTTCATTTTAATATTAATTTCTATTTTTATGAGGTTTGTTAAAGTTCTTTTGCCTGTTCATTCTTCAGGGGATGTGTGGCCTGGGCCTTGTGTGTTCCCTGATTTTACTCAATCAAAAGTTCGTTCTTGGTGGGCAAATTTAGTTAAAGATTTTATTTCTAATGGAGTTGATGGTATATGGAATGACATGAATGAACCGGCTGTGTTTAAGGTTGTTTTATACATGATCTCACAATGCTTGTTAACTTTTTTCTGCAAATGTGTTCTCACTTTTCCCTTTCCAGGTTGTATCAAAGACGATGCCTGAGAACAATATTCACAAGGGTGATGAAGAACTTGGAGGTTGCCAAAGTCATTCGCATTATCACAATGTACTGGTCTTCTAATTTTTCTCTTTGCCTGTTACTTACCACATGAAGTTATGAGAATGGAATGGCGTAGTTCTGTTATGTTTCCTTGAAATTGTGGATTCTGGACACTAACTGACTATGACACTGGTTTAAATACTATTGCTTTTGCATGATGTATTTGAATGTCCCATTGATACCATAAGATGTTCTGGAATTCAATTTCTTGATATTGGTTACCAATTTACCATGTTAGGTTTATGGACTGCTGATGGCAAGATCCACTTTTGAAGGCATGAAATTAGCTGATAAAAATAAGCGGCCTTTTGTTCTCACCAGAGCTGGATTTATTAGCAGCCAAAGATATGCTGCAACATGGACAGGAGATAATCTTTCAACTTGGGAACACCTCCACATGTCCATCTCCATGGTACTTCAATTGGTAAGTCCTTTTAGGATTTGGTGAATGTATTGGGCACATACATATTTGCTAAGTGATTAATATATATAACCAAAAAATGGAATGTACAAAAGCCAGTAGTTAGAAGCAGAGGGTGCCTCTGGGAACTGCTTTGCAGATCCAAATATTGCTAGATTACCTGGCTACTGTCTGCCCATCTTTTAAGTTTTGTTTTGTTTTGTTTTCAGGGCCTAAGCGGGCAGCCAGTTTCAGGACCTGATATTGGTGGGTTTTCCGGAAATGCAACACCCAAACTTTTTGGTCGGTGGATGGGTTTGGGAGCTATGTTTCCATTTTGCCGTGGCCACGCTGATGCTGACTCCCTTGACCATGAGCCTTGGTCCTTTGGTGAAGAGGTTTGTCTTACTTTTTCTTTGTGACAATTTATTGTTTCTGGATACATACCCGTAATATACATGACTTGCATATTAAAAGGAACTAAAATGTCATTATACTAGGATAATCCCCGATGTATGATTCCCTTATAACTTGTACCTCAAGGTTTTTGATATTGCTTGACATGGCTTTCCAAATAGAATATGAGATTGTGACAACATAACATTTAGAGCGTGCATTGGTTATGAACATTGTAACCTTTCAGCTCAGGGATGAGGAAAATCTCTGCACTTGATTGAATAAATAACTTGGTTGAACTCATAATGTTTAACATTTTCCTTTTCATTGTAATCTCATTTCAATGCTCGAATGTTAGATTGTCTATTCCAGGCTGCTAATAATTGAATCTGATACAAACTTAAATTTGATTAATTAGTGTGAAGAAGTGTGCCGCCTAGCATTGAAGAGGCGTTACCGCCTTATATTACACATATATACTCTTTTTTATATGGCTCATACTAGGGGTACTCCTGTGGCAACTCCTGCCTTCTTTGCTGGTAGGCTTCTCTGATTTCAATTGTTCAGATCTATTGCATGAGCTTCATTAAATGTAAAACCTGATTTATGGGAATTGTGGATAACTCTTTTGCAGATTCAAAAGATAACAGTTTAAGAACACTTGAAAGTTGCTTCCTTTTGGGCCCAGTTCTAGTTTCTGCAAGGTTCTTATTCTCTTTCTTCTAATATGGGTGCTAGGTGATAGTTGAACTGTTGGTTCTTACTGTGTTATCTTACACTCCCATGCTTACAGTTGACTCTTGTAATTGTTGTTTCAAAATCCATGATTGTTTTTGTGCTTGGTTTCTTGTTATTGTGGATCACTGTTCAATATTTATGCAACAGGTTGAAATTAAGATGTTTTCTGTGTACATCCTGGAACACATGATTTGTATTCTCTTTGTACCCTAAATTTATCTCCAATATACTTTTCATTATATAGGAGATAATTTCATTGCTGGTAATTTTAATTTGTTTTTTCTTTTTATCGTTGATTAGCACCTTGCAAGATCAGGGATCTGATAGACAGCTCTTGTTGCCTAAAGGAATTTGGTTGAGCTTTGACTTTGATGATTTACATCCGGTATCTGTTGCTAGACATCTGGCTCTAGTTCTTTATGACAGTCTATATTCATTAGTTTGCTGACACCATTCTTCACTTGTTCTCTGTATTGAGTATACCAGGATTTGCCAAGTTTATATTTGAGAGGTGGATCAATTATACCTTTGGGTCCTCCTATCCAGCATATTGGTGAATCTAATCCATCAGATGACTTAACACTCCTCATAGCCCTAGATGAGAATGGTAACTTTCTGTTGATGATATTTGAGTCATTCATGTACCTAAGACATTGTTTAGAGATCCAGGGATGAAGAGGGATAGAATTAGGGGCCTTTCTTTTTTTCATTACGGGGGTCTCAAGCTCACAATGCAGCATTTTAATCATGGCTGATTAATCCATTCCATCCTCATTTATTAGCATTGAACAATATCAATGGAACATGTAAGTATTTTATTATTATTATTATTATTATTATTTTCCTTGGAGGAAGGTGCATTGGGGCTTCAGAGCTTTTTAGTCCTACATTAAACTGTGGTGAATTCATTATGCAACATTATCCCGCAGAATTTGTTGAATGATATGGCCAGCAGTTTTGCTTTTTACTGCTGGAATACCGTGCCAGTAGCAGCTGTTAAGTTGGATTTTTTCACATACAGGGAGAGCTGAAGGGTCTCTATTTGAAGATGATGGTGATGGGTATGGATTCACCGAAGGGCAATATCTTTTGACACACTATATTGCTGAGCTCCAATCTTCGGTGGTCACAGTGAGAATATCAAAGACTGAAGGATTGTGGAAGAGGCCAGATCGCCGTCTACATGTTCAGCTGTTAATTGGTGAAGGTGCAATGGTATGTCTTGCTTGCATAAAGGATCATAATCATGGGTTAGGAAGTAAAATACAGCTCAAGCATCAGAAGTAATAAGAAACCACTTGTTTTCTTCACACAGCTTGACACATGGGGCATAGATGGAGAACTTCTGCAGATTGTAATGCCTTCTGAATTTGAGATTACTAAGCTTACAAATACAAGCAAAGAGAATCGCAGGACGCGTTTAGGTAAATTTTTTGTTTTTGTTTTTTCTTCAACGTTTGCTGAATGCCAGTCTTAATATAAGGAGAATAAACTCAATAAAAGTGGCTTGCATAAAATTTATTTGTGCTGGTATTTTTTTCTTAAATGTAATTTTTAAAGCTTCATTTTATCCAATGTTGTTTCTGATGGATCAGTTTCTTTGCGCAGAAAGTGTTATGCCTATTCCAGAAATGGATGTTGCTTCTGGACAGAAGGGAACAGTTTCAAAGATTCCTGTTGAATTGAAAAGTGGTGACTGGTCTTTAAAAGTTATTCCTTGGTTTGGGGGTAGAATTGTTTCCATGGCACATCTTCCTTCAGGTAATGCATATCTGACTTTCTGGAATTTTTCCAAGTATCGCTTCATCGTTGCTTCTTAGTTCATGCCTAAAAGAAAAAAGAAGTGGTTTCTTAGTCTCAGACTCATGTGATGACAAATGCTATCTTACCCATCTCAGATGAACTCATGTGTAAACCTGTCATCCATTCATCTTTGTTAGAAATTTTTATTATTGTTGAAGTGTCCTCTAGTCACACTCTTACTTGAATGACATGTCATCAACATGGATGCTGCAGGGTGAAGATCTGGTGGCTGATACAAAGAGATACACTATACATACAAATATATATATATTTTTGATACATGAACCAGAATAGGCATATGCTGTTTTAGTTTGCATCTGGAAGTCGCCCCTAGTTTTTGGTTGTTCCATCTTTGAGTTTTTTTTTTTTATAATTAATCTGTTGTTTTTCCTGCTGATCCCAGGCATACAGTGATTTAACGAAGATTACCACTTAAGTCTTTGGTGCAAATAAAGTTTTTTTTCAGTAGTTTAATACAAGTTTAGCTTAAATACAACAGAACTTAATTTAATAAATAGTTTTTTAATCATTGACTTTTTTTGTTGTTTATAATATTTATTTTCTTTTAAAATTACCTATTCACTTTCAAATTTATTTTAATTTCATCTAGTTTAACATAATTTAGTTAATTGAATTGACAAAAAAAATTTTTTTTTAAACAATTTATAATTATTTACAGGATTAATTGAGGGAGGAAAAAAAGAGATTTCTGGGTTCGAACGTGCAACATATAAGAGATGAATTGTCTTAATCCAGGATTCAATGCCATTGAATCAGAGTGCTCCTTCGCATTGACAAAATTTTAAATTTTTTGATTGTGTGAAATCACATAAATTGCCACGTGACTTAATAAGAAATTGTAAAAATTTTCCTTCTATTTTTATACTACGTCACAACTTACGTATTGATTTAT